TGTTTGGACTCTCATTCTGACGGCACCCATTCACTGCAGATGATCGATTAGTGAGGAAGTGCTGTAATGCTAAATTTCTCCAAATCTGTTCCAATACAAAGAAACAAACTTATCTACACCTTAGACAGCCTGAGGGTGAGTACTTTCTCAGCTAATTTTCATTTTGGGGTGAAATATTCCTTTAAGCGATTTACTTTTAGTTATTGTGTAAAGAAATCTTTAAATAATTGGATTTGCTTGAATAATTCTAATTATCTATTGATTTATACAGTTAGAAATGGGTTTTAGAATGTTTATTTGTAATTATTTATAAATATAATTTATTTATAATTATTTGTATAGCTAGATTGATGGAGTTGCTCATATTCTTTCTTTTCAACCTCAGAGCATCTTGAAAAAATTTTCCGCTGGCTGGGGTTTGAGGTGGTGGCGCACAGAAATAAAACTGCGGCTGAAATGAAGAATCTCCTCAAGGACGTGGGGAAGACAGTAGATGGAGACTGCTTTGTGTGCTGCGTCCTCTCCCATGGCATAAAGGAAGGGGTCTGTGGAACCGATGGAGCTGTTATTTCTGTTGATGAAATACGAGAGCCTTTCAATGGCATTAACTGCAAGAGGCTAGTCGGCAAGCCCAAGATGTTTTTCATACAGGCATGTCGTGGGGGAAAAAATCAAGATCGTGTGCAAGTCCAAGCAGATTCTTCAGAAGATGGAGAGTCAGAGATGGAGGTGGATGGTGATGATTTTGATATCACAATCCCGGCTGACACGGATTTCCTCATTGCCAGGTCAACCATTGACGGTCACCTTTGTTATAGAAGGCCAGAAGAGGGCTCCTGGTTTATTCAGTCACTTTGCCGAAACCTAGAGCAACATTGTCCACTGTAAGTTTAAAACATGCACTTTTTTTATGCAGCATTTTTATGTTCATTATTATCATTTGAATATAGAGAAAATGATAAAGGATTACATGCACAAAATCAGAACTATATGTATTATCAAAAAAGTAATTTTATTTATTTTTATGTTTCCAGGGGTACAGACATCCAGACAGTCCTGCTTTGTGTGAATAATGAGGTTAGCAATCAGGGATTCAAGTGCAAACAGATGCCCGTCCATGAAGTCGCCATGAGGAAGAAACTGGTCCTGCTGCCACCGTGAACCACTCACTGCAAGCTCCTGCAGTGTACAGCATGGCTTCATATGCATCATGGTTTTATAGGATCATTTTTAGGATAAAGGGAATCTTTACTCTTGCATTCCTGCGTCTTTGTTGACGTTCTTAAATTAAGTTTTTTTGTTTTTAAATCAGGACCGGGACTGTTTACTTCAAGGGAATCATGAGCCATTTGAGAAATAGTTTTTCAAGTTTTCTAAGTAACTTTTTGATAAAAAATAATTACTGCATTTTTGCAAATATGTTTTACACATTTCTTTGTACTATTATTTTAATGTTCTTTCTGCATCCAGTTCAAATACACTGATCCAGGTATTTTATAATAAAATAATGTTTAAATATGGTAATTTAATGCATTTAGAATAATAATAAATTTTGATATTATATTACTTATATTCATCTGCAATGCAACACATAAGCAATAAATATGTCATCGGGTAGGACAACAGAAATTGTATGTATCAAATGTAGGTTTAACAAATGAGCTGTTATTTGTACAAACTAGTTTGTGACTAGTGCTTGAATTAAGCAAGATTACATTAAAGTAATTCAAATTCCCTACAGAGATGTGATTAGACATGTGCCATCAACTGGAATAATTCTGTTATGGCAGCACTTCCTCCTCAGCATCAGTAACCTCTTCCTATAACTGTAATAATAATCTAAATTAACCATTATTTTTTTTTGTCATAGTGTGATATTGTTATGGTGCTTAAAGGTGGGGTAAGCGATTTTTAAAAAACGCTTTAGAAAACTGATTCGGGCCAAATATCAAAACAAACTTGTAGCCAATCAGCAGTAAGGGGCGTGTCTACTCATGATGTGATATATATATATCTATGGTTTAGACAGCATCACTGATTATAATGAGTTCTATAGTATTTTGTCGCGCAGCGCCACTAGCGTCCAGTGTAGACACGGTGTAACATTGGTTTTCTCCCAACTTAACAGGGAACAGTTATCTGCTCCCTAACATCTACCATGCACTGGAATTACACGCTAATTGTAACATAAACACATATTTACCATGCTGATAATCCAGTTTATTAACTGAAATGCATACATATATAGCCATTTTTATGTTATCATAACCGAAACGTGAATAAAGTTTTTTAAGTTTTAAAATACTCCTCTTTTTGAGTGTAAATTGATAGCCTGATCAAAAGGTGTATGAACCTAAAATAAATCTGAACCTGAAAACTGTGACATATCCCCTGTCTCTGTTTGAACTCTTGTTTTGTATATTTGCTATGTTCTGGTTTCCTGTTCTATTTGTGGTCTTTTTCCCCCTGTAGTTTTTCTTCATCTTTTAGTTTCTTGATTGTCTTCCAGGTGTTCCTTGTTAGTCTATTAGCCCTGTCTGAACATATAACCCTACACTCTTAAAAATAAAGGTGCTTCAAAAGGTTCTTCAAGCGATGCCATAGAAGAACCATTTTTGGTTCCACAAAGAACCATTCAGTCAAAGGTTCTTTAAAGAACCATCTCTTTCTTACCTTTTTGTAATCTGAAGAACCTTCTTTCGCCACAAAGAACCTTTTGTGAAACAGAAAGGTTCTTCAGGTGTTAAAGGTTCTTTATGGAACCATTTAGACAAAAAGGTTCTTCTATGGCATCGTGAAGCACCTTTATTTTTAAGAGTGTATATGTTATTGGTCAGGTCCTGTCCTTCCCAGCCTGTTAAGTTGGTTTGCTAAGTTCAGTTTCTGTTATTTTGCACCTGGATGTCCCTTGTACAGTATTAAACAGTGGAATTTCAGTGAACAGAAGGTTGCCATGAGGTTGAAACCTCCTTCCACTATTATTATACTGCAAACCCCAGAGCATTCATGAAAGTGTTCTTAAATATACACTATTGCTGCACGATTATGACAAAAATCATAATTGTCAATTATTCCCTTGAAATCGTAATTGCGATTGTTAATTACAATTATCATAATTTACATTGAATGATGTTTATACCATTGTTTGATGCAACTGCATACAAAAAATTTTATGACTGTACTAGAGCATAAAATACCACATGTTTGCAGATCTTTAGGAAACATGCTAAGTTTACATACTTGTTTCTCCAAAAAAACAATGCTACAGCCAGTTATTCTACTCTGAAATGTGGGTTCTGTGCCAGAATGTCTGTTTTTGTTTTGGTCTGTGTAATTCTGTCCACTGTCAATTTACCCAACTGTATTTCAACATCCCGTGTTGCCAATCGGTGGAAAACACATTGTATTGCAGCCATGGAAGCCAGCAAATGTACTGGGTCAGTGATCGCAGATTCTACTATATCTAAAAAACCTCGTCATCCATCTAAAAAGCTTTATGACAAGAGGCATATTAAAGCATAGATAAATCATTGCATCAACTTGTAAAACTTGTCGCCTTCCATTGTCAATTGAGCTCATTCCTGTTGCGTGAGTGTAGAGTCTGAGGAGGAGGGGACGGGAGAAACAACTACCGCTAACTGTTAATATTACATACTGCACCTTTAAGGATTAAAACACCCAGAGATTAATAGATAGATAATCATGCTGCAGCCAATCAGGAGACTCACTTCATGGGCAGGACCAGTGTTTTGGTTAGAGTGTAGCAAGCCTCAGGCATCTGCTTGAAACCATGAAGGATTTTGGAGCTCACTATTCTATTCACCTTCGTCAAAATGGAGAGTATGTCCTCCTTCCTGCCAAAATAAAAAGATACAAGTAAGTCATATGAGTAAGTTGTTCTTCGATATTGTCTGTGACATTGTCTGTGACATTGGGAAGTCGTGGCCTAATGGTTAGAGACTCATAACCCGAAGGTTGCGGGTACGAGTCTCGTACCGGCAGGAATTACAGCGCTCTCTCCCACCTTCAATACCATGACTGAGGTGCCCTTGAGCAAGGCACCGAACCCCCAACTGCTCCCGGTGCCGCAGCAAAAAAATGGCTGCCCACTGCTCCGGGTGTGTGTTCACTGCTGTGTGTGTGCACTTTGGATGGGATAAATTCAGAGCACTAATTCCGAGTATGGGTCACCATACTTGGCCACATGTCATGTCACGTCACTTTCACTTTTTTCAAAATTGGCCACAATTAGTGTTGTTTACAAGTGCAATGAGGTCATACCGCATTACCAACCGTTGATTATGATGATCAGACCACAATGTGTTTCCAAGATGCATTGCACTACTTCTGATAAAGTCATCCAAAATAGATGTTAAATGAATAGTTCATCCAAAAATTAACATTTGCTCAATTTACACACCCTCAGGCCATCCAAGATGTATATGAAGTTGTTTCTTCATCAGAACAGATTTGGAGAAATGGAGCATTACATCACTTGCTCAACAATGGATCCTCTGCAGTGAATGGGTGCCGTCAGAATGAGAGTGACTAAACATCACAATAATCTACAAGTAATCATGTATCCTGTTCATAAACGTTTTGTGAAGCACAAAGCTGCATGTTTGTAATAAATGTTTTTAACTTCAAACTGTTACATCTGGCTGAAGTCCATGTGAAAAAGTTGTCTCGCCTGAATCAAGAAGGAAATATGCACAGATCAAGCACCTTTTACCTGCAGGAACAGTCCAAAACCATTCTAAACAAATATTTTGATGTGAAAGGACAACACAGGATGGCCTTTTTCACTGAAGGAAGCATTATTATGGACTGCACCCATTCACTGCAGAGGATCCAATGGTCAGCAAGTGATGTAATGCTAAATTTCTAAGCACGCTCATTTACATCTTGGATGGTCTGAGGCTGAGTAAATGTTCAGCAAAATGTCATTTTTAGGTGAACTCTTCCTTGAACATCAAATGCAAATATGGTCTTTAATTCTAACATAAGCTTCAAAATCTAAACCTTCTCAAAATCAAGACCACAACTCACCATAGACAGCCACTTTCCAGCTGCTTGCAGAGCTCCAGGAAAAAGATGGACCCATCTGTTGTGTGGCGGAAAGATTTGTAGTACTTGACTGTTGCTATTCCAATGAGGAAATCAGCATCTTTAGGGACATTGGGCCTCATTTATCAATCTAACGTTGAAACGACCATACTCCCAAATTTCTGTCATACGTTCGTTTCGTAAATGAGGCCCATTGTGCGATGCTGCAGTATGAGAATCCTCCTTAAATGTTTCTTCTCTAGTGCTCTCCTGTTCTTCTGCCATCCACATACCTTGCTGGGCCTTGTTACCCTGACAGGCTTGAATGAAGAAAAGCTTGGGCTTATTAACCAGTGTGTGGCATTCAGCAAAAGGCTGTGTGAGTTCACGGATCGGAACTGGTTTTCCATCTATTCCCAGAACAGAGCCTTTCTCTCCATGGGACAGGATGCAACAGACAAAAGCATCCATCTTAGAGTGATACCTCTCTGAAAACTCCTTTATCACATTTTGCATATCCGACGCTTGCAAATCATCCCGCACCTCAACTTTGAAAAAACATGTACTCAAACACTCTGGTGAGAACATCTAGAAGACAAAGAAAAATGCAGTTAGGTCTTCACAAAGCCATAGTTGACAAATTCAATAGATTATGTTAAAGTACATATCTAAATAAATTTAGAAATTCAACTCCCTCAAACACCTTTATCTTTGTCCACAGAAAAACATGGCTGCCACCGGAGCAGAGACTGTTCACACTGTGATCTGAATCAGATGGAAACAGAACTACACTTCCTAACAGAATGCCCCAAATACACAGTTATACGGACAGTGTTCTGTGATAAAATACAGCAGATCCATCAGACATTTAAAACTCTTTCAAACCAGGAGCAACTGCCGTATCTGTTAGGAGAACAGAAGAACTGCTGTGTGTTTGCTGCTCAATATGTGTCTGCCTGTCACCTAGAAGAGAAAACACTCAACCTGCCCTGATCTGATGTTTCCAGCACATCTACATTATATTATACCAAATTACTGTATTATATTACTTAGATGTATATTTTGCTTCTGTAAATATGTCTAATCCCTTATTTTATTTTTACTTCGTTTATATACTATACTTATATACATTAGTAATTCATTTTACACTACATGCTTAATACTTTTTATATATTATTACTATTATTATTCTTTTTCTTTCTGTTAATACATGTGTACTATTTGTAAGCAGTCCAGCTGCAATTGCTTTGGCAATACAAATGTATAATTATTATTACCCTAAGCTACACTCAAATGGAGATAGACCCGTAGCTGAAACGGTAACGAGTTATGTGCATACTCAACCCATGAGAGTTGCTGGCTCCACGAGGAGGGGTTCTGAGAAGCCAAACAATCGCAACATTCGTTCTAAATCTTGGTTGGTCCTCTCTGTCTGACTATTACTCTGGGGATGAAACCCAGAAGAAAGACTAACCGTCGCCCCCAACAATCTACAAAATGCTCTCCAAAATTTGGATACAAACTGAGGCCCCCTGTCAAGAGACCACGTCCATCGGGAGGCCATGTATGTGAAGAACGTGGTCGATGACAGCAACCACTGTTTCTCTGGCAGACGGCAATTTAGGCAGAGGAATGAAATGAGTTGCCTTCGAGAACCGGTCCACCACGGTCAAAACCACCGTGTTTCCCTGTGAGGGTGGGAGACCCGAAACGAAATGTGGGACCAGGGTCTCGAAGGAACTAACAACAGCAGGGGGTCGATTGGAAGACTTAGAAACAGCACAGACTGAGCAAGCCAAAACAAAAAGACGAATGTCGTGAGCCATAGCTGCCACCAGAATCGTTGTCTAACCAGAAATGTGGTACGATCTACCCCAGGATGACAGGCTACCTTGGAACAATGATCCCCTCGGATAACTTCGGACCTTAAACACTCTGGCACAAACAAGCGACCCGGTGGGCATTACCCCTTGAGAGGCCGTGCGGACCTTCGACTCAATCTCCCACGTGACCGCAGAAATAAAAACCTTCTGCGGCACAATGGGCTCGGAAAAAGACGGGCTCTCCGAATGATCAAAAATACGGGACAACGCATCTGGTTTGATGTTCTTAGAACCTGGACGGTAAGAAATGGCAAAATCAAAACGACCGAAAAAAAGAGCCCACCGGGCCTGCCTAGAGTTTAATCTTTTGGCGGACTTGATGTATTCAAGGTTCTTGTGGTCGGTCCAAACAACAAAGGGAACCCCCGAACCCTCCAACCAATGACGCCACTCTTCCAAGGCAAGCTTGACTGCCAACAACTGTTACCAATGTCATAATTACGCTTGGCGGGAGACAAACTATGAGAAAAATACACGCAAGGATGCACCTTGCCGTCCGCGAGGGAACGCTGGGATAGGACCGCGCCAACCCCCACCTCTGATGCGTCAACCTCCACCACAAACTGCCGGGACGAATCAGGGGCAATAAGGATATGAGCTGAAACGAAGCAGCTTCTGAGTTTGGAAAATGCAGCATCCGCTGCACTGGACCACCTGAAAGCAGTCTTGGTGGAGGTTAAGGCAGTCAAAGGGGCGGCTAGCTGGCTGAAATTGTGAATAAAACACTGGTAAAAATTGGCAAAGCCCAGAAACCTCTGCAGGGCCTTGCGGGAATCTGGGGTTGGCCAATTCACCTCAGCCTTGTCGGAATCCATGCGCACCCCCTCGTCCGAGACGATGTAGCCCAAAAAAGGAACAGACTGTGCATGAAAAACGCATTTCTACACCTTGAAAAAAAGCCCATTCTCTAACAACCTCTGAAGCACTCGCCTGACGTGCTGAACATGTTCCTGGAGAGAATGAGAAAAAAAATCAGTATGTCATCCAGGTAGACATAAATTAACTGATCTACCATGTCTTTCAGCACATCGTTGACGAGTGCTTGGAATACCGCGGGGGCGTTAGAAAGGCCAAAAGGAAGAACAAGATATTCAAAGTGCCCCCTGGGGGTATTAAAAGGGGTTTTCCATTCATCCCCCTCTCTTATGTGAACCAAATAATAAGCGTTACAGAGATCCAATTTCGTGAAAAATTACGCCCCCTGCAAACGCTCGAAAGCCGACAACATCAACGGTAGAGGATAAGTATTCTTGTCATTCAACCCTCGATAGTCAATATAGGGGCGAAGAGAGCCGTCCTTCTTTTTCACAAAAAAGAAACCCACACCTGCTGGAGAAGAGGGGCGGATGATCTCCATCGGATGATCGGTTGTTAGAGAATCAGAAATATATTTCTCCATGGCATCCCTCTCCGGGGTGGAAAGCGAATACAATTTGCCCTTAGGCGGAGACGTACCTGGTAATAAGTCTATAGCACATTCATAGGCACGATGCGGAGGTAGAGTAGCAGCCCGAGACTTACTGAACACTCCCTTCAGGTCGAGGTACTCACATGGCACGTTAGACAGGTCAGCGCGATCCTCCTGAAACACAGAACAAGACACAGGAGAACATGCAGACAACAAATAGGAAGCATGACAATATTCGCTCCAAGCCAAAACGGCATCCTTTCCCCAGTTTATGAGGATTATGGAGCACTAGCCAGGGATGCCCCAGAACCACAGGAACAGCAGGAGTGTCGGTGAGAAGAAATTCAATGTTCTCCGAGTGTTGTCCAGAGGTGATTAGTCTTAACGAGACAGTGGCGTGCGTGATTGAGGGTAAGGGCTGACCATTCAGTGCAACCACAAAAACGGGCTGAGAGAGCACCACCATGGGTATCTTGAGGCTGTGAGAGAGACTAATGTCTAAAAAAATTACCCTCCACTCCCGAGTCCACTAAAGCCTCACAATCATAAGTCAATGAGTGCATTCTCAGTCTCACCGGAAGATGAGTGGCTGAAAAAGAGGATTTGTTCAAAGTAATCCCACCCGTCAGTAACCTCTTACCTACTGGAGGGCGCTGGCTTTTACCGGACACTGCAGGGCGATGTGACCGGCGGCTCCACAATACAAGCACAGCCCCCTCTCCCTGTGTCTCTGCTGCGAAAGACGGGACCTGCCCATCTGCATGGGCTGGGGGTCTGGAAGAGAAAACACAGTCTCGCTAGTGGCTGAGGGAAAGTGGCCCTGTGGAGTGATCGGCCGTCCCCGGAGTGTCTGCTGGCTCCGCCGCTGCAATCTGGTATCCACCCGAATGGCCAGATCTATGAGCTTATCCACACCTGTGAGTAAATCCGACGAATAAATCTCATCTTTAACAGAATCAGAAAGCCCATATAAAAACATGTCCCATTGCGCCTCTAAATTCCAACCACACACCGCTGCCAAAGTGCGAAACTCAATAGAATAGTCGGTTACAGTGCGTTCCCCTTGACGCAGCACCGCGAGAAGTCGCGCTGCCTCTCTGCCCGAAGCAGCGCAATCAAACACTTTCTTGAGTTCCTCAGAAAAAGACTGGAATGAGCAACAGCAAGGAAGCCTCTGCTCCCACACGGTAGTTCCCCAGCTAGCTGCCCGTCCCGAGAGCAAAGTTATAATGAAAGCCACCTTAGATTCCTCAGTGGGAAACGATGAGGGTTGCAGAGAAATGTACAGGGAACA